ATCATTTGTCAGTGTTTTGGTTTCTTTTTGTAATGTAGACAAGAAGCTTGTGGATAAGCACACAAGGGGTAAATGTGAAGAGAAATACATTTTTCCAGTACAGAAACAAGAGAAATAAGCAGCTCTGTGCACATGAGAACTTGGATTTAAAGAATAGAGAAAATTAAGGGACTTTTTTTTTTTTTTTTGGTAGGATTAGTAATTTTGCAGCAGCTATGTGGAAAGAAAAACCTGAAGTTAACTGGAGAACAGGACAATCAAACTTGTGATGACCTTACCTCTGTGACAAAGGAATTCTTCTTAGTCTAGAATTTATTTTTGAAACATCTCTGAAGTTCAAATGCATGTGTATATATGTTAAAAAAAAAAAAAGTATAATAGAAGTCACCTAAAATGGAGTCTGATCCATTCCACTGATCTTGAACTTACTGTCCTTAAAATCTTTCCTATAGAGAGGCTAACATTGGAGTAATATTTTGTCTATTGGCAAGACGTTTGATTTTTCTTACCTTTTTTTTTTTACTCCATAGAAAAAGTGCTCAATCTCATAGTGAAAACTACTGATCTTCACTTAGGATTTGTGCTACCTATAGGTTTGTTTGGATAAAGCATTTACTTAATTTCAAATTGTTGAGTTTATATATTGGATTATGCTAAGCCTGTGTTCGCTTTTTAAATAAGGTTGCTAGAGTTTGTGTTGATGGAGAAGATGATATGTGGTAAATGAGGATATTTAATTTAAAATACTAGCTGTTGCCCCTGCGCATGCACACGCTTCCCATGGCTCTACGTTGCTTTTCTGGTTTGTGGACAGTATGCACTTGCAGCATCTTTCTGTGAGACAGATTGCTCCAGCTAGAGATTGTAATAAATTCTTTTGCTCTTAATGCCTGCTGACTTTCTATGTAAACATGCCTTAAGTGAATGGGACCTTTTAAATCACTTCTGAGAACAAGACTTGTACTTGTGCTTTTGAAACCGTGTAAGTACTTCTGAAGAGTCAGTTGTTGCTTTTTTATTGAGAGACCTTCTTACTGCTTGTAAGAAGGTGTTTTGTTGATGTGGGTTTTAGGAGCTGGTGGCAGTCTCTATTTAATGAGCTAAATGGTACAGAAGAGTCCTTGGTCAGTGCTAAATCTGTCCCTTATCTGCCTGTTAAAACTTCGATTTTTGATGTGGAGAGTGGCAAAGCTTCCATGGTAGAAGAGCTGGCTGTGGTGTGTGGGAGTGTTGGTTGGAAGGGACTTCTGGGGCTCACCTGTCCAAGCTCCTGCTCAGAGCAGGATTACAAATAATGCTCATTTGCCAGCTGTGGCTTTGTCTGCTGAGTCTTGAAAACCTCTGAGAACAAAGATTATCACCTCTCTCAGTACGGCACCAAACCACCTTGCAGATGTTTTTTCTAATGTCCAGTCTGAACCTCCCAAGCCATTACTTGTGGTTCTTGCCTCTTGTTTTGTGATCAGTGCTGAGAAGAGTTTGCCTCCACAGGTTTTGTAATGTGCTCTCAGCTTCAGTAGCTATTATATTATCCCTAGGCTGCTGCTTTGTCAGCTGAAACAAACCCAGCACCATCACCTGCTTCTCGAACATCAACTTCAAGGCTGCAGGCCATTTTGGTGACTCTTTCCAGGTTCTCAAATTCCTTTTCGACCTGGGGGGCTTGAAATAGGATACAGTAATTGAAGTGCAATCTCACCAGTGTTAAGTTTCCTTTGATTGCACTCCTCTTGGCTTTCCCTGTTTGCAATGAGAGCAGACTCTTGGCTTGTATTCAATTTGGCAACCAGTGTGATCCCCAGGTCTATCTCAGTAAGGCTGTTGTTCAACCGGTCTGTTCCCAGGCTCCACGGAAGCACCCCAGGAGCAGAATTTTGTACTTCATTAGGATCCTGTTGGCTTACTCCTGAAGTTTATCAAGGTCCATCGAAGTTGAATCTCTGTTTGGAGAGTCAGTCACTCTTCCACAAATTTTCTGAGGGTTCATTCTATCTTATCACCCAGGTTGTTGTATAATATTAACCCCAGTATCAGCCTTTGTGGTGCTTCTTACCTGCTACCAGCTGGATGCTGAGCCATCGATTACTGCCCTTTAAGCTCAGCAGCCCAGCCCATTGTCGTTCAGTCTAACAGGCCATTTCTCCAACCTGTGCCTTTTCAGCTTACTGTTGAGACTACTGTGGGAAACCAGATCAGTCCTAATCACTAAAAACTGGACTGTGATTCCATGTATTTCTGGTAGATTTGTCAAGCAAATACTTGAAGTCTTAGTAACCAAAGCTAGCTTTACGTAAGTGATGCTGTTTTCTTGGAGGGGGTTCTGGTGCTGTGAAATATGGTTTCAGTAAAATAAAACATGTCATTCAGAAGCTCTGTAGAGTCTCCTTGTTCCTTTATTTAACAGAAATACGTGACTTTTTTATAAGTAAATAAAGATTGTACATTTAGAACATACATACTACTAATTTAAAAGTACTCAGGGTCACAATAATTTTGTTTCAAGTATGTTTTACTACAAAGTCTTAGCAGTTTTACTTTTAGAAGCATTCCATCTAAATCGTTGGGTTTTTTTTCAAAACACTGGAATAACTATTGTTGAGTAGTCATTTCTAGCAGCTAAACAGTGGCTAATGCTGTGAGCCTTGCATTGTTATGCAAACTTGTAAAACCTCTTTCCAAACCAGCTTATTTTTCCTGTTTGTAGCAGGGTGTGTTTAGTTTTTCACATCATGGCCCTATAAAACTATATTTTTATATATATTTTTATATATAGTTGTATTGCTCAATATTCAGATTGTCTAATCCAAACCTGAAAATGAAGGAATAACTGTCATTTCATCTTTCAGTCAACCTACAGAGGAGGCAGGAACTTTGTACTAAATCTGTTTCTGGAATGGTTTGTAAACCTGCAGTCTCCACTTCAGTTTTGAAACACGAGGTCTGTTTTCCGCAATTCTAAATGGCCAAAATTGGAGTAGCTGACAGTTATTTTGATCCAAATCATGTATCTTCCTGACTGGATGCAGCATTTTCTCATAGCTTGCCAGTCAGAGCCCAGTAACATGGACCTGTGTTCATACTGAATTTCGAGATATTTTAAGGAATTAGACAGTGGACAACTTTGTTGTGTGAAAGAAGAGAAAATATAGCTTTGATATTGTCGAGGTAAAGCTTGAAAATGAGGCTGATGGCTCTAAAACTATAATGTGATCAAAAGAGAAACTGAACTGAATTTGCATCTTGGTATGGTGGTTTGGTTTGTGATCAAGGCTTTCTGTTTGAGAAACAAAGACAAATGTGGATTAATCCTAACACTACTGTTATTAAACAATTCCTTTGAATTTTATGTCATCCTTTTGTCTTGTCACATGGTAGCAGAGAGGTGTAGGTATGACAAATACTTTCCTTTTCTTCTTGCAGACTCTCTTAAATTTATCCTGTGGATTTGGTAAAAATTTTGAGGTGTGTTCATGTGTGAACACATATAAAAAAAACCACCCCCTGTGTTTTGATCTTGATGAGCTTCACTATGTGTTTTACTAGATTTCTTGATGTTACCTTAGATTTTCCTGTTTCAAAAGCAGCATTACATAGGTCAGTCTTCTAAAAGATACTTAAGTTGAAAAAATATAGACGTACTTGGTATTAAAACCAACTAAAATGCCCTGCTGTAAGATAAGTGCACTGAAATGATGGATAACTTGGAATTTCCTATTATATTTGATTTTTTGCACCCCTCTGGATAAAGAGTAGAACATCATGAGACTTGTAGTTTGAGTGGAAACTGGTGAACAAGTGTAAGTGCTTGCTCTGTATTTGTTGTCAAATAAAGCCAAGTAGCTGGACTAGACTAAATGCTTGCTGGTTTTTTTTGGGTTGTTTTATTTTTTTTTTTTTTTAAATAATGATACAAGTTCTGGGTATTTTTTGCTGAGGTCAGGGTTTTGGAAAGTCAAAACTTGCATGTTGAATTGGTGTTATTTAACAGAGGACATAATGGGCAATATGTTACACATAGGTCTAACTCCATTTCAAACGAGAGAGTGTTGGGCATCTTGTGTATTGGACATCTGGGTTGGCTTTGTCTGCTGCTTCCCCCATGCTGTACCTCATTACAGATTTCTCTGCAGCTTTTCAAGTTGGGATTTTTTTTTTTTTTTTTGCTCTGTGTTTTTCGTTTGGAAACAGGAAAGGCTGGAGCTTCCTGCCCATATAAACAATAAATCCCAGTAAACTAACTGGGACAGATTCTGCCTGCCTTCCCTGAATACCATCTTTAAAAGGAAGGAAACAGCGTAAGAGCATTTTGGCTATTGAAATAGGATTGACTTCATAGTAGAGCGATTTTCTTGAAGAGATATGTAGTGGAGACAGGGCACCTTTATTGTTTTACTACATGAAGTCCTTGAGATACAGATCTAAAAAGTATTTTTGTGTGACCTTGTTAACTGTTGTGTTATATCATCAGCTATGTAGAAGCTTCTCTAATGAATTAATACAGCTGTAGTCCTGATTACAGTAAGTTTTGGCAAAATGCTCTTTTTCACATGTTCAGAGCTGTGGAGCTGTATGCCCTATTTTCTTGAAATACACTGCCTCTGTTTGAGAAAACATCTGGAATTTTTAGTCTTCCTCCATTCTGTGAATTAAAGCCAATGATTTTAGCTTATTTGTCAATTTGGTTATTAATCCACACTTCAATTTAGTGTCTCTGGTCAGTCACAGATAAGGCAACATGGCTCGCTTGACTTGTAGGTGGATTAAGTTGTAACAGCTCCACATTAACAGTGTTGAAGAATATGTGTGCCTTAAAACATTTGGAACTGAAGTTATCTCTGCGATGAAGTGGAGGATTGGTTTGTTTAGGGTTGTGCTGCTTCTCTTTGCACTGGAAAGAAAAATTGTACCTTTTCCATAACTTCAGTGTAAAGAATGTAGCCGTGTGTAGGTTGAGCCTCTTTTAATATGCAGACTAACTTTTTGTTTTCTCTTCCCTCCAGCTGGTGAGCCTGCTGCTGATTGGAATTGCAGCATGGGGAATCGGCTTTGGCCTCATCTCTAGTTTCAGAGTTGTCGGAGTGGCAATTGCAGTAGGAATCTTCCTCTTCCTTATTGCCTTAGTTGGATTAATTGGTGCGGTGAAACATCATCAAGTATTGCTATTCTTTGTATCCTTCTAATGTATTACATGGATCACAGCTTGGTTCAAGCCATGTAAACAACCTGCTCTGTCAGCTGAGACTGATGTGGAAAGTGCTTCAGAAATAGAACAGAAATTCACAATTTTACTTTGGTCAAGTGCCATCTAAATCAAACTTCCTTCCCATTTAACTTTATTCCACCTTCCTTTTTCCCTCGCCTGTTTGTGCTCTGAAGACAAATATTCATGTCTCCTTTTTCTAAAAAAATCAAAATATTTTAGTTTTTTGAGAACTTTTTCTGGTGGGTCACTGTGTCATAGGGTGCTTCTTACTGTGTGCTCAAGCCTACACCAAGCTAGAGTGCGTAAACTATTCATGTTTAACGGTAGAGAAAGGTGATACTTCCTGATAGCGAGCTGGTTGTAGCTGGCAGGGAATGCACTGTGGGTAATAGAGGCTGTTAAGAAGCACTTTCATACCTAGTCTTTAATTGCAAACCCAGACTAGAAATGAGCACAAGCCTTCTCAGTATACTTTGCTGGCCCTTTATGCTTACTGGTGCTGTGTAAGCAGCCTGTAGTGCTGTCTTGCGTAACAAAATTGATCTGTTTGGTTGAGAGAAGAGATTCATCAGATAAAATTCTTATTTTTCTTGTTGTGGTCTATGAATACGTAGTCACCTCCACTTTACAAACAGTTCAATTGTGTGAGATAAGTATCTGCCTCTGAACACAGCAGCCAAATTGTGAAGCCAGTGTCTGACTTTCAAAATGTGATCGTTAGTACCAAAGTTTATTTTTTTTGTTTCATACTGTTTTCAGATGCATTAGTCCAAAAGTGTGTGAGGCTATGTTCCAAAAGCAACTCTCGCTTTTTTTTGGATCTAGGCTAAAGTTACTTTTTGTAATTAATTACAAGACTATGTCTTTGAATAAAAAAAAATCCAAATATGCAATACTCAGAAGAGTATTTTCTTTACTACTAATGTGATCGTTAGTACCAAAGTTTATTTTTTTTGTTTCATACTGTTTTCAGATGCATTAGTCCAAAAGTGTGTGAGGCTATGTTCCAAAAGCAACTCTCGCTTTTTTTTGGATCTAGGCTAAAGTTACTTTTTGTAATTAATTACAAGACTATGTCTTTGAATAAAAAAAAAATCCAAATATGCAATACTCAGAAGAGTATTTTCTTTACTACTGTATTTTAAGTGAAATATCTTGAAATGACAACATAAGTCCCTAAAGCTGAAGAAATTGGCTGTAGATTTCTCTCTCTCAAAGCTCCTTTTATTAACCTCTCTGCTCATGTTGTCTTGTTAAGCTAGAAATGCCTAACCCAGAAATACCAGCTGTGTGTAATAGTAGCTAAAAAGAGGTAATATATGGTGATTGAGTTCTGGGAACATTATTTGGGTCATCTTTTTTACATCCAGTCAGAACTTACTTGTATAGTTCTTTTGTTTTAAAGGACCTATTGTTATCCAATGACATAAGGAATGCCATTAGGCATGTGTTTATAAAAGCAAAATTAATTTGAGAGTGTATCCTAATTTGAGAGTGTATCCTTAATGACTATTTCCAGTACATGATTATTCTCTTGCTAGTCTTTATTGTCCAATTGTCTGTCTCCTGTGCCAGTTTGGCACTAAACAAGGAACAGCAGGTAAGAAAAGTTTCTTGACTTCTCAGTTAATCTATAGCATAATACTGTAAAAACTGGGGGGGGGGAGGAGGGGGGAAGGGAAGAGAGGAAGAGACTGTCTTACACAAAATGAGGAGAGCTTATTTTAAGAAAATCAGCATTATCCTTTTAAATAAAGACTAGACCTTAGGCAGTCGTTGGCTTGTGGTAGGTAGAAAGTAATACATCTGGGTTCTAAAATTACTTTCAGCTGTCCTTTTTGTTTTAATTATTAATTGTTTTGTTTTTAAGCTTCCTGTGTAGGTTTAAGGTCACAAGTGTAGCACCATGATATCTTGTCTATCTCATGTGTTCAGCAATTCCAGATAGGCTGATGAAATCTACAAAAATCATAATGTAAAGATGATAAAGCCACTGAATTGTTCTTGTGTAACTGTAAAGGTCGTGACTATATTAGGAACAGAGGTGACCCTTAAGTGTGAAAGTAAAACCAGCTTCCATGGAGACTAATTCTTAACTGCCTAAGAAGCAGGCAAGGGTACAGTGATTAAATAATCAGCTTCCTATGCATAAGCATGCTTTTTGTTTAAAGTCTGAGCAGTCTCAGTTAGATTAGTTGCATGTCTCATTACTAGTGCTCTTACCAGGTTTAGGAAAAAGAAAGGAAAAAAATTCACTATAACCTTGAATGTACTGCTGCTAGGTGTAGCTATTTCATTAGCTACACAGGCTGTTTGAACATTCAAGTCATTCTTTAAAATATTATCCTGTTAGACTTCAGGATCTGAAGGTTTTAGGTAGGGAATTAACAGCTTGGCCTAGTATATTGGTTTCCAATGAAATGCAAACCAGTTCAATTAATGTAGTATGTATTTGCCTTCTAGAGTCAACTTCTAGAGGTGGGATGGAATAACACTAACAGCGCAAGAACAGATATTGAGAGAAATCTGAATTGTTGTGGATTCAGAGTTTTTGATCCCAATGAAACCTGCTCCTCTGTAAGTTCTTCAAGCATGAAAAAACTTACAACTTGTGTGTGTTCAAATCTGTACAACTGTGTTCATAGTTGGCAGAAACCATGTTTTTAAGAAATGTGTAAAGTAGTTGTTACAGTGATACTAGGCTCTTTAATTAATTTATTGGAAACATAATCACACAGCACCTGGCAAGGTTGTACTCCATTGTCATTTATATACTTGCTTTTTTGGAGTCTTAAAACTGCTAGAGTTTGTCCATGGCTGGCAGTCTTTTACAGAGCTAACTAGATGCTTTCAATCAATGAAGTGTCATCAGAAAATGGAGTGCATTTCTCTGTTTGTATCTGCTACAGGATTGTTTTAGAAGTCACCAGTGTCAACCATGTGCACCGATAATAGAAGAATATTCTGGTATGGTGCTGAGATTTGTTGGAGGCATAGGACTCTTCTTCAGTTTCACAGAGGTGAGTAGGAGGTTAGAAAATTGAGTGCTTTTTCCCCAGTTTTAAGGCTTTGTTTTGTGAAACAATTAATTTTAGGGGGTTTATTACAGGAACTCTCAGGAGTCAACTAATTAATTAGGTCAAATTTTTTGAGGCTATCAGCTTGCTTAAGTCTGCCAAAAGTAAGATTTGTCTTTATTCAACACTGGGAGTTCATGCAAGTTTATGTTACTTAGCCTACAAACCATGACTAGGTACCACATTAAAATGTGGTGCTGTAAAGTTTAAGTTTTGCAGCAAGTTAACTATTCAGGTTTACCATTCTCCAAAAGTAATAAAAAAGTGCCATTGCTTTACCTTGTTTCCCTGTTCTTCCTGCCTCCCCAACCCGTACACACACACAGTCTTTGGGGTTTTGGGCTTTGGGATTTTTTTTTTTTCCTTGCGCCTTCTGCAGTGCAAAGATGCAGTTTCTCAATGAGTGGACTGTATTTTAAACATTAGGTTTAAAAGGTCTTTGACCCTTTGCTTTAGAATCCAGATGATACATGTACTTGCTTTATTGATCGGTGAATAAAAATCCTCAGGGTAGGTCTTTCATAATCCCACAGTAAAGTGTGTGAAGATACCTCTCCTGCTGCTTAGTGCCGTTTTCAGAAGGTTTGTAAATATTACAGCAACAAGAGAGATACAGCAACTTAAACAGAATCACTCTGACATCTGCCCTCAATTTCTCTACTAAAACTGTGAAGCTGCTGGGAGGGGAAAGGGTGGTTAGAGGGAACGACAGGATTTTAAAATGTACTAGAAAAATAGCCTTATAGTTAAGTGGTAACTGTAAAATGAAACATTTTGGAGGATTTGTTTATCATTACACTAAAAACAGGTTTATGAATATTTATCATTTGGGGAGGAGAAGAAAATGCTAGATGTCATGATGAGAAATATTTCACATTGCATTGTGGATACAGTTTTGGCTTTTTTGGTTTTTTCTTCTTTCTGTTGCAAGGCATGAATTTTTTCTGAGATGGTGCATGCTTTTTTTTTCTGATTAAGAAAGCTGGTGTGTGGTTGTGGAATTTTAGCAGTAGTAAAATATTCTAAACTTGCGTACTGGAAATTCCTTGTCAGGATTTTATGTTTAAAACAAATTTTGTAAAACTGATGGAAGATGGGGTGGAGACCCTCTGCTTAATAATATCTTTGGGTTTTGTTTTCAGATTCTGGGAGTCTGGCTGACATATAGATACAGGAACCAAAAGGATCCCCGTGCAAACCCTAGTGCATTTCTTTGATAAGTTTGTAAAGGACTGAACCTTCTCTCTGCACCCTCTACTTCAAAATACTGATTCTCCATAGTTTGCTATTTCTCCATAGTAGGTATTCTGCAAGTACCCAAAAGAAAACTTTATTTCCGTAAGAAATTTGTAGTTTTCATAGTTAATTTCCCACTATTTTTCTTCTAAGAACCCCTATCTTGAAGTAGACTGGTGCATTCAGTAGCTGGGCAGAGCCAGACTGCTGCTCTGGGCTGGTTAAATAACTCTGTTAGGACTCTGATAATTGATGTGGTGAACTCTATACAGTGAATTTTATAGCACTACTGGCTTCTCTGGTGTCCAAAAAAACCCAAAAGTATTTTCTGCTGTATTCACTGATTAAAAAAATTCCTGTGATTACTTATTAAAATGGTAAAAATATATGGTGGATGGTTGGACTGTGTGATTTGATTAGGCTTTAAGACGAACTCTAGTCAACTTTTTTGTCTTAATAATGGCATCCCACTTTCCTGTAAAAATAGAAGTTAAAGATGTTATTTTCTGTAGTGCACATAAGTGTATGTTAATGACTACTTCACCCCTCCCCTTTCCTGTTTGCTTTGGCTTTCTGGTAGCTTTAGAATTTTGTTGAGAATAACAATAATTCTTTACTTGTTAATGGAGATCTTCACTATGAAAAATATGAATGAAGAAAGCCAAGAGAATGTAACCTGCAGCTGATTAACTTGAATCTTTTTTTTTTTTTTTTTTTTTTGTTTGACAAGTGAATGAAGCTTAGTATTTGCACAATATCAGAATCAATAGCAGTCTGTCATCTTTAACATAAGAAACTTGATGTCTGGAAAGTTGTTGTACAGCTGTTTTTTTCAGATGGTGTAAAATTGTTGTTGTAATAACTCAGCAGTGTATATTCCTTTGTCATCCAGCTAACAGTCTTGATTTCATGAGAGATTGAATGATGTGTAAACAAAAAAAAAGAAAAAAAAAGTAAAAAAAAAAGAAAAGTGGTGGTTTCCAGTAGTTTGTTGTTTTTGTGGGTTTCTTTGTTTTGTGGTTGTTTTTTGTTTTTTTTTTTTAAAAAAAAAAAAGAGGAAAGAATTTAAGTTAGAATGGTACATTATCAATGTAGTAAGTTGCCTGAGCTGAAGGAAAGGAAAACATGGTCCCTCTTCCAACCTGTAACAGAATTGATGCATCAGCTGGGACATCAGACATCGAAACACCCAAGGTGCACAATTTGTTTCTAGTCACACTGAATTGCAGACCTGCAGTGCGTCTTTTCTGCATTCAGTTGCTGCTTCTGGTGTGGTAGGCAGCTGCTGTAGCCTGAACGATGGCTCTGCAGGAAGAAAAGGGGAAGAGTTAAGGCCATTAAGGCCATCTGCCAAGGAATACAGCAGCTGAGCGAGGTAGAAAGGAAGACAGTGAGGGCAGACAGAAGTGGGTTCTCATACAGGCTCCTGTTACTAGGGAGATGCCTCCTTGCTCCTGCGGCAAAAAGAAGTTGAAATACATGCCCATCAGAACACTTTCAGACTTCGATCTGCTCCTAAAGAAGGAATTGTCTCGAGGTTTCGAAGGGGAAGAGTTGAACCTGAACAAGGTTGAGGATGTCAAGAATTTCCTAAAGACAGCTTCTCTTCAGGTGTAGCTGATTCTTCAACATCTGCTGTCAGCGCCATCTCCTGGTGTTTGGTCTGTGAACTACTGCTTCATATGTTGGGAAGTATTGGTGTCTGTTTCAAGCACATACTTTTACATTCAGTGTAAGAGCCTCCTCATGTACTGAAAAACCTTAACAGTCTTCGGACTGTTACTGCAGTATAATGTAAATGTATACAACTTTTTTTTTCCCCCAATTAACCAGCCATTCTCAATACATATCAAGAGGATGGTGTTTGTCTCATGACTGTCTTTAGCAATGTTAATTTTCCTAGTCTAGACTGACTTTGTATTTTGTACATTACTGTAATAAATTTAAGGAGGAGTCTCATGGAGAGGGTGTATGAAGCTAATACCACATTGCTGCTTCAATTTTGACTTTTTTCCTAATTATTTTTAGTGCTTAGTTTGGGGTGGGTCTGATTTCATAAATATGGTAGGTGATACTGGAGCGTAGATGTGCGTTACTGAGAAAATACTGAAAATGCTACTACTTTAGAAACTCGCGTGTCTTCAGGACCCTCTAGAATTTCTTTTAGTAGTCAAAAGACAGATCAGTCTGTTTGGTATAGTTTGATTGAAGTTTTTCTATCATATTAATAATACTTTGTCTCTTTAATATTGTGATTTAACAATAAAAAAACCCACCACCACAAACCCTGAAATTCACATCAGAGATGTGGATTCGCTCTCGGAACCTGGTTCTTAAGGGAGTGCAATAAAATTCATTGAGTTTGACTTTGGGGGTGGGGAGGAAGAGAATAGTTTCCCTCAGGAAATACAGTGACTCACATGTCAGTATACAAGAAATGTTCTGATGTGTTGAAATAGAGGTTTTTTTTTTTTTAATTTATTTATACCTATTCTTGGTGGGTTTTGTCTTTGAAGTTTGCTTTGTTCATTGCTTTGTCTTGCCTCTTGAGAAAATAGTTTTGGTCATATAAAGATGTTTTTTGTTTGTTTTCCAGAGAGGCATTTTCATTTTTATCTGACTGCTTTAGAATTGGACTTAATTGTAACCAGATTTTCTAGAAGTTATTTACAGCAGCAGAGTATCAAAATAACAAAGCAGTTTAACTTAGAGCATTCTTAATGCTTACATTAGATGTCTTTTGACCCTAGTTACATTGAAATGCTTTCTTAAAGTTGGTTACTCTGGAAAACGTAGAAACCTGTCTTGACTTATTTCAAGACATCTACACATTTTTATCACATAAAAGTAATTGACTGTTAAATAATAAAATACAGTTCTTCTGCATCTGTGTAAGAAAGTGAATCTAGATCTTAACTAGCATGCTGATACCACTGCACAGCGTCTGACTGCTCTCACATGAAAAGAACTATTTATTACAGAAAGAAAAAGCTTGCATAATCTGAATTGATACCTGTAAAATATACCTTAAAATTGATAGCTGATAAGTGAATAGCATTATGCCAGTGTTATTAGCTTGCATTATTATTTTTAGGCCTAATTATTTAAAGATTGTCTGCATGGTAGTGGAATTCTGGAAACCCCATTCATCCTGTGTTTTGTTTTATATCAGATCTATAGCTCTAGCAAGTGAGCTTTGGGTTAAGTAGATAAAGGTGACTCTGGTAACCAGTTGCTCCAGCCTCCCTCTGTGCTGTAAACACCTTTTCTGCTTTTTGTGGCTGATAGGTACTTCCAGAGACTATTTCTGCCCCCACTGCATCCTTTTTTCCCCTGTCTTCTACTTGGGAGGGAACGGAAAGGCCTTTCTGCAGCAAGGAATTTTCTCATCGCAGTTAAAGGATGCTGCCAGAGAAAGCAACATCTTGCTGAACTGCTGAAGGGATACTCAATTGCATGTCTGGGGCCGTTTCCAGGCACCACTTGAGATTTTCTGGTTGGTAGGATTCATACAGCTTGACAAAGGTGTATTAGCAGGTGTCTTGCTTCTAATGTTGTTGAGCAATGCCCTTGAGCTGAAACCCTTGCTTCTCTTGCCTGTCCTGCCTTCCCAAGTGTATTTATTATGATTATCATCCTGGCTGGCAGTGGTAGTAATGGCAATAGTAGTGGTAATATGGCTGACGTTGCCAAAAAGCTGAGAAGATAGTGCAGGTATAGTCCTGCGCCAAGTGTTTCGCACTGGTGCTGCTGCTGAGTTCTTAGATACTTGAGGTTGGAAAGTCTCCTTTTGGCCAAAGTCTTGAGGTGTTGTACTCCCATGGCGTTCAGCTGCAGGCTTTCTTCTAGTTCTAGTCAGAACTCTTGTCCCTTTGGGGCTTGTAAATAAGCAATCACAAGCTGTAACATAATCATGAAACCAACCATATAGTCAATGCAGTATCACTTCTATTAATCATCTCAAGGCTTTACTGAATTCCGATGTAAGCAGAAATCTTTTAAGGGATGGAGTTTTTATCTTTAAAAAAACAAACAAAAAAACATCTTCAAGGAGATAAGGTGATGCTCAGATCCCTTCAAAATGCAGTCAGTTAAAAAAATGAAACAAAAAACCCATAAGCAATCCCCTCCTCTAGTCTCAAGTACTTTTCTGTAAAAGGTTGTCGCTTCTTGTTACTGAACTGTAAAGAAAGGGCTGACAATGAGAGCTCAACATAGGTTGGTGCTATAAGAAAATAAATGGAGATAAAGCAGGCTGAGCAATACAGAGCTTAGTTAGCTGCTCAAACTGGGAAGAAAAAGTTGCTTTCCTCTACTGGCTTTGGCTGGGTAGAGTTCATCTTCTTCATAGTAGGCAGTATGGGGCTGTGCTAACACAAAACAGTGTTGATAACACAGGGATGTTTTAGTTATTGCTGGCGCTTACACAGCATCAAGGCCTTTTCTGCTCCTCGCAGTGCCCCACCAGCGAGGAGGCTGGGGGTGCACAAGGAGCTGGGAGGGGGCACAGCTGGCCCCAACTGACCAAAGGGATGTCCCACACCATATGTCATTGTGTTCAGCCACAAAAGCTGGCGGAAGCAGGAGGAAGGGGGGATGTTCAGAGTGATGATGTTTGCCTTCCCAGGTAACCGTTACGCGTGATGGAGCCCTGCTTTCCTGGGAATGGCTGAGCACCTGCCTGACCATGGGAAGCAGTGAATGAATTCCTTGCTTTGCTTTGCTTGCGTGCGCAGCTTCTGCTTTACCGGTTTAAACTGACTTTATCTCAACCCAGGAGTTTGCTCACTTTTACCCTTAGGATTCTCTCCCCCATCCCGCCGGGGGGGAGTGAGTGAGTGGCTGTGTGGGGCTGAGCTGCTGGCCGGGGTTAACCAACAACAGCCCTTTTACTGCCAAGGCGCTTAGATGTAAAATTGAAAGCTGTGGTCTCAAGTAATGTGGTGATTTTACTCTTTCTAATTATGGTAGATGATAATAAGGAAAAAATACTAAACACAGCAACATTTTGTATGTAAACACTTGAAATGGATTTATTTTTTAAAAAATCATTTTTACAGTTTGATCATACAGTATTCTGTATGCCTTAAATTAAAAGCCTCCAGCTTTTAAAAATGTTGCCCAGTACAAAAGTGCTAACGTAAAACCATAGTGTTTCTTTATATAAACCAGCACTATACATCACTACATGTCACCCTAAATAATCTCTTCACCAGTTTCAATGAGTGGAGAAGAGATGGAAGATCAGACTTCATAGTATTTAAGGGCTTCCTTCTTCCCCTTACAGTTCAGTCTTCAGGAGTTTCAGCGCTTTCTGCATATTTGAATACACTAGAAATGAAATATTCATACATATTATTTTTATTGCAACTTCTTCCAGTGACTATAAATGCTGTGGAGAAAATGGCATTATTATTAAAGCTTTTGCTTGCATGCTTATTGCCATGCAGATTCTGATGCACTGAGCTCTTCCAAGCATTTTGTGAACGTCATCTTATTCAATTTTGACTGATTACGTACATTGGTTAATGCAAACGCAGAGGCGTTGGCAGGGCAGAGGCGGGAGCTGTGCAGCGGTGAGGGAGGGCTGTAGCAGACTCTTCCCTGCTCCCCGAACGTTTCCTGACCTGGCCCCACAGGGCTTGTGTGCAAGAACTCTCACTGTTGCTTACGCTGAATACTGCTGAATTATGCAAGTTCCTACTGACGTATACTTTCTTTTAAAACAGATGGATTTTTAAGGCTCCAGGGCTCTGCCATCATTCTCTTCACCTCACCGAGTTTAAGTCTAGCATCCTGTTTCGTTTTAATCCTGGTTAACTGTCTTTCAGCAAGTACTGACTGCGAGAGCCTGTAATGCCTGGTGTTATTCCTTGTCGCGTGAAAAATGTAACTGCTTTCAGAATATTTCAGAATATGTTACTTACGCAATGAAGCATCAGAGGGCTCATATGCATAGAGACGGTTTGAGTATCTTCCGGTAATATCTGCTCTTACAGTCAGGGAAGGATCTGGAAAAAAGGTTGAGGGAAGTTGTAGAGGATGGGGTTAACCTTCAAGCAGAAGGAAATAAGCCTTTCTGCAGTTCTGCTTGCTTCCTAAGTGTTTCTGCAAGACAAGTCTGGTTCCATTAACAACCAAGAGATCGTTCTACACAGTCACTGACGTTTCAATTTTAAGTGTTGTGTTTGCAGGTTTATTAAGAAGGGGTAAGGTTTAATTCTGACCAATGTTGATCAGCTTTCCACCCTGTGCCACTGCATAGTGCCTAAATTAACTCTGTGAGCTCAGCTTTCAGGCTACAAATGTTATTAAAGAAGACATAACAAAGGAAGAAAGAACATGCCAGTTGCTTTGGCCTCTTGAAAATGGTCATTGTGACCTAGATTTATCAAGGTATGTGTTAATGATACATGTGTGCACTATGTGAGATTACATATGTCTTCTGGGAGAGGGAATAACAGGATGCATACACGGCCACTAATACGTCTCCAAAACACAAATGCTTTGGAGGGGTTTGTGCAGGTTAGTGGAGCACAGAACTGAGTACCAAACTTTGAAAATTGGCCCCTGAAGCATCCAGGGTCACTGCTGTTCCTGTGATGCTGGAGATTGCGTTACAAACAGAAACCTGTCAGGTTTACTGTATTTCTAGAGATAGGAGGATGAGCAAGGCTGAGCCAGTGCCTACCCATTGCAGTGCCTGTGGCGGTATGTCATTTTGCTGACACGATGGAAGGAATGACATCATTCGTGGAATCCAATGCTGGACCTGTGAAGCTAATGACCCGGCTGGGGTTGCTTTGAAATTGCATTCAACAAAATGACCTAGATATTTTATATTTCACATGGAATACATTCCTGTTAATAATCCTGAGGATTTGAGATTCACGGCGCAGCAGGGGCTTTGACCCAAGATCAGATTTGATGCTTGAGGTACTCACCTATGAACAAAATCCGAGGGACATACTGGCCATCAGGTGACAGATTCTTGTCTGTGGTTTCATACTTAAAGAAAACAGATGAAGTTCCCAGTCAAGGAGGGCATGTTGCATACGTATTTTTTTTTCCCCCACTGTATTTTGTGTTATGAAATAGAGCTTAAATAGTACATTTTGCAGTTTAAGAAATTCACTCTCTAGGATGCAATCTCATAACAGCTGGAGTTGCAAATTGATAACCATAGTTCGTGTTATTATTAAACTTTAAATTCCCTTATATTTTTAGGTTATGCTAGCTACACATGAAAGACACATTACCAAACCTATTATGGTTCAGCACTGGCCATTTTCTCAGCTGACCCTAGCTATTAAGCTGGCTAGTTCTAGCTAGAGAAGCCATAATTAAAAATAAACTTTTATTGCTTTCACTTACTGAAGTGTAACTGGGAAACTTACCACAAGGTTGAGAAGAATGAATTTTTCAGCCAATTTCTGTATATCTTTATTTTCAGCGAAGGCCTTCTTGAGTGCTAGAGTGGAAATAAATGGGAATGAAAGTAGAATCAAATTGAGAATTCCCAGTTCACAACTGCAGCAAATGAAGATTTTAAGTTCATTCCTGTGGAAGATGATTAACTCATTTATGTTCTGTGGTAAAGAGTAAATATAATGGTAAAAAATGTCCCTCCTTCCTTCAGATGCTGCAGCTCTAAAATTTGCTGCTTGAGCTTGCGTTTAGAGCATTTGACCCTTTAAACCTCCTAGTCTGCTATTGCAGTTTCTGGCTCCAGTTCTTAAGGCACAGAAAATTCAGTATGGAGGTGTAGGACTTCAGCCTGAGATGTTTGAGGGGATTTTAATGCTTGTAACAAAGATTATTCTGGAGGTACTGGAGCTATGGATGGGTGCAGAGGTCTTGCCATGTGGATTGGCTTGGAGGAGCAAGGGGCCTTGGGTAAATTCAGAACACGGGTAAAAGAGCAGTTGCAGTTACCAGAAATCCCGCAAAAGCTCGGTTTCATTCTAGTTTAATTGAGTCCCTGGCCAGATTCAGTCTTAGTCATCAGTGATACTGAAAGCTGAATACGTCCTTTCCAATAAATTACTGGTTTTCACTACTCCTGGTCTTGTTGTTCGTTTTGGCAAACCAAAGCCAGATTTGTCACAGGTCAAAACCCACTGACCTGTGCTTATTTCTGTACCCATTCTGTATCATGTAATCACTGAATTACCATTTTTATTTTACGTCTGCATGTTGGAAAATACCTACGTGGGACAGCAATTTGAAGAACACTCTGCGTGCTTGTGCCAGTTAGCATTTCACTAAGGCTTACTCAGCAAGCAGAATGGTGGCTGGTGGTTTGTTTTGTTTTTTTTTTTTGTTGTTGTTGTTGTTTTTAAGCAGCATTTATCCAGAAACTGAAAGCCAGATGATTTTTTTTATTTCAGTGCAGAGGGATTACCTTGGCTGTGCGGGCAGTCGTCCAAGTGGTGGATAATCATCAGGGGTTTGTTGCTGGAAAGGAAGAGCCCTGTTAGAGGCTGGGGAGGTGCAAGGGGAGTGAGGGGGTGCAGAGTGGAGCAAAGGGGTGCAGAGCAGGGTGCGGAGCAGGGCACGGTACCTGTGCTTGGAGCGGAAGAGGGCTTCCTCATACGTCTGCGTCCAGATGAGCTGGTCTCCCCAGCCTGCAAGGGAAGGACAGGCAGCACGTTATAAGTGGGGCTGGTGGCCAGGGGTTCACATTCCCACCCCCTCCCTGCATCTGCCAGGAAGGGCTTTACCTCTGGAGAGTGTCTGAGGCAGTTTCGGTTTAGCAGTAGTCTCCTTTGTCTCCTTCTTGCCCACATCCTTTGCCAGAGCACAGGAGATGGCAACGAGCAGCAGGAACATGGACATGTAACTCTTCTCCATGGCTGCCTCTGGAACAGAAGGGAGAAATTTCACATGGTCACGCCTCCCAAGTTGGCGCTTGCTTTGAGGCGCATGGCCGATAAGGACAGGTAGAGCAGCAGGTCAAGTCACAAGTATGCAGCAGGGTGAGTCAGGGCTGAAACGAACTGCTCCGGGCAGGGGCCTGGGCTTGGGGGAACGTCAAAGAAGTGTGAGGTTTGCTTAACAAATTGCTGTGAAGGACTTGACTGCTTTCTACTGCTCTGTTCATGCCTTTGGGCTGTGGTCCTTTTAAGATACTCATTTATGTCTTAGTTTCTCTCCCTTCTTTTTGCATATATTGAATTTGCTCAGCAAAGCAACTGAGTTTTGGCAATTTCAAAAGTACTTGCAAGTCCTAGTAGGTTCACAGTTCTACCTTGATCTCCCAGTAACCCAGCAGCAGGTGCTCAAAAATTGACTTGGCTCTTCCTCCATTGTGCAGTGGGAGCAACTCACATGAGGAGTCAAAATATTAAGCTAAGCTTTATAGTGAGCCATTGGCATAGCCACAGCTTAATGCTGTTGTTGAAACTTCTGATCCTGTCTTCCCCCTTAAAAGTATCATCAAATCCTTAAAACCGGTAGAATCTATAATGAAAAGAGTGGGGAGGAGTTGCTGGGTAGACTACTAAGAACTGAAATGCAGTTTGCTGGTTTATACAAAGCAGAGGGCTTTTCATGAGCTGGACTCTGGGACATGGAGATGAGACATGTCTGATGGGAAGCTCCTCAGTGTTTCAGCTGGGATGCTTCTTTGAAGGGGTAAAACTTTAGCGACATGACCCTATGTTTTCCTCATTAAATTTCATCCTAGAAACTAGAACACCAGTGTAATGGGTACAGCAAGAAAATCTAAGATACTCCAAAAGCAATACAGAAAATCCAAAAGACTAATGCAAAAATTACAACAGATTAACAGTTTTTAAAATTCAGACAATGAAAATGAAGCTCCAGGGAAATAGAAGCATTTTTCTGGGTAGGAACTGCAGGAGGAGATGTTAGCTGGATTCGCATTGGTGGTACAGTGCTCTTTGCTACTGGGATGTCCAGGAGACCTCAAACATCCAAAAAAATCACTGTTTCAAGGGCATGAAATATGACTTTTGCAGCAGACTGCCTTTCTGCCCTAAGAAAGGTCTCCTCAGAAAGGAATAAAATAACATAAATTAAACCCAGTGGATTTTTAGGGTTGCCTCAACAGTTGTTTTAGCTAGAGTGTAAGAAATGCTTCCTTAAAAGAAAAAAAAAAATAAAGAAGGTACGGGACAACCAGGAAATTACAGACCAGGCAAATTTTATGCAGTTGCTGATGCAGAAAGCAAAGACAGAGGAATATTAAACCTGCTATTTCAAAACTTCACCTCTGGAAGGCTATGTGCACTTTTGCTAAGTTTTCCACCCCCCAGAAAAACCCTTCCTCTCCTGGCTCTTTTAACCTGCAAAGCCAGCATTTCTTCCTTTTTCTTCCTTGCAAGCTGTGCTGAACTGTGCCTACCTTGCTGCAGTCTTTTCTTTCCATTGATCGGCTGCCCCAGCCCCAGGGACTTTCTAAAGCTGGAAGCGTGCCGTGCCGAGCCTTACCTTGTTTACGCTCCCAGACGCCTGCCAGGGTGCGAAGGTGTTCCCGGTTGCAGTGTGAACGCTGTCCTTCCTACTGCCTATTTATGCACCTTCACATGCCCCAACTCCACCCACAAGCTTTGAATTTGAATACTACTTCCAAAGAGCTAAACTCCAGTTTTTTCCCCACCAAAACATTCAGGGTTAAGTTTGTCATTAAGTAACATTACAGTTTCCCACCAGACACCCTATTGAAAGCTCAGAGATGTTTCTCTAGAATTTTGGGACATTTTTTGAGAGGTGATTTTAAAATGTTGGCAACGATCCAAGTCCAGGTAAGCTTAAGTCAGGACTCCTGATTTGCCTGAAGAGTGATTTGTCTTTTTTTCATTGGTTGGAAAATCAATACAGGTTGCTGTTCTTTTAGTCCTCTGAAAAAGTTAAAATGGATGACTCAGAACTTTAGATGTTAATTAAATAATTAACTGCACATTATACAGATATGCATGTACTCATGTGCATATAGAAGCACATAGGAAAATTGTAATAAAACCTAGAAGAAAGTTGGTAAAGATCTCCACAAAAATGTATTTGGAAGCTATAACAATAAACTGTGTTCATAAGCAGAGGTCTAAATACACATTTAATTCAAATTCCATGCTTAATTAGTTGTGTAGACATTCATTTTTAACTAAGACATGAAAATCGATCATTTTAGGTTTCAGATACACGTATAATACAGTGCAATACTCAGGGAAACCAGACCTTTCTAGGTGGTTGGAAGGCCATCTCTACTGTTGTACCGGCAGCAGATGGTCCTTCCTCAGAGGTCAATGCAAATAAGTCCTCAGCAATATATCTTGAAACTACAGTATGTTCTCCTTGCTGCATGCCTCATATATTTCAGTGAGATTAAAATCACATGTTCATGGGCAGTGACCACTTGACATTACTCATTGGGTAGATGAAATCCATCAGATATGGATTTTCCTATTTGAAATTCACAGTGCTCTCTGATGGCTGCTAACAGCGTCCATTTTTTGGGAATATACTTAAGAGAATGTAGTGCTTTGGATCATGATTTTTGGTTTTTTTAATCTTTCATAAATAGTACTTAGGAAAACAGGGTGCAGAAGCAAGATGGTGTACTCAAGCAAAAAAAAATAAATACTGCTGTTCCTTACAAATGTACAGTAGTACTGTGCTTTGCTTAGGTGCTTGACTTACTAGAAGGGTGAAACTAAATATCCCAGGGACTTCAGTCATTTTAACTCCCGTTTCTGTATGTTTCATGATAAACCTATGTTTTCCTGATGAAGAAATGGAATGAGAGAGACTGAATATGAACCTCTGCTCCTCATAAAGCACTTCTCCCTGAAGATTCAGAGATGTATTTTGTTAGCTTCTATATTGCGTATCTGAATCACATCCACTCAGATTTTCTTCTAAAACATACACCAAAACAAGTTTCCAAGATCCATACTTGGACATGGGAGCACTCACTTTGGACAAGCAGGTTACATCCTTAATCCACTTCAGTGTTGATGTAGGAGTCAAACATTAGGTACCCATTTCTGAAATCTTGGTCTCAGCTCAGGCAATTTCTAATTGTCATTTAACATACTCTCACTGGCTGTCTTCTCAGGTCACTCCTCATAGCATTTGGTTGTTTTAAAGACTGTAACAAATTCTGGTTTCTCTCTGGTTATGTGAAGAGATAATGAGCAGGTAGGCTCCCACTCACACTTCATTAAAAAACCTGGGTTTTGTCTAAAAATGCATTCTCAAAACTAAGCCCCCACCTGCTCCTTGGCCCTGCCTTAGATGTATTTCCATTTAATTTGCGCCTTTGCTTTCTCCTGTTTTCAGGAGATGCACTTACCTTAGCCTATTTCCACATAGCTTTGTGCTGCTCTGTAAGAATTCTTCCCTACAGGAAACTCAATAATTCAAATACAGCTACTCACAGGGACTTCCCTGTCAGCTCAAACCCCGTGATCTCAGCGGAGGTAGTTGAACATGTCTCTAAACCATCCCTGTGCTCTTGTTTATGAAGCCAGAGGGGAGCTCAGCCTTTCCCACAGCTCCCTGCTTGGGTCCTGAGACTGTACCCAGCTGCTGAGCTCCTGGCTGTTTATCAGGGGCTACTTTCTCCTCAGTGACTAAATCCTGCAGGAATTGCCCCAGGAGACCTCAGAACAAAATAGGACTCTCCCAGAAGGTTTTTCCTCTTTTGCTATAAAGATCAGGTAGACCCCATTACCGTTAATATTTAACATCTTTACAAAACTGTAAAGTAGTAATTGGATTTTTCCTTTGATTTTCATTTCTCTGGTCTGAAGGTACCTTTCTTCATTATGCTACACAGAAATCAGCACGGCATCAGGTGACTGATATTATAGCTGTTTTGAAGGCATTTTCTGAAGCGCTTCGTTTTGCCTTGTGTTTTGTAATACGTAAGTTTTAGAATTCAGCCATTTCTCCTGATTTCATAACAAACATGTGCTTCCAAGTCCTGTGATCTTCTGCTCAGAATAAATAGCAAACCTTTGCATTGGAGGAATAAAAGTAATGAACGAAAGGTATAGTCAGTCCCACGCTAGCGATGCTCTGAGTCAAGGCCAGAGACAGCCATATCTGGGAATCAGCCAGCTTCCAGTGCTGGTAAAGTAGTAGTATATTGTAAGGCACAGAGGTTGAAAGTAGACAACATTCATTTGAGGACTGGTCAAACTTCTTTTGTAAGTGCTTTAACTACACGAACTGAATAGTAATTTTTTATCACCTGAAAGCTGCTTGGGTGAAATTTGCCTGATAATTTTTCTGGAAAGCCTCTCACCTCAGAATTCAGGAGCTGAGATACCTCTGACACCTATGGCAGATGCAGGTCCCATTCTATTTCCCTCTCCCCCTGAAATAACTCAAATCCTTACCTTCAAGATTACAGGTAGGTGCTCTCTGGATTGGGATATGGCATGATGATCAATGTTTCCAGTCACTCATGTCAAGACCATTTCTTTTATGCTGGAGCAGGTACCAGACCCAAGATACTCCGCTTCCCAGCTTAGTTGTTGGTCTGTTAGGCAAGAAAGAGATTTTTCTCATACTGGCTCAGGAAAATTTTGCTAATACATGCAAATGGAGACCCCTTCTAAAGGAGAGACTAGGAAGGATTTGGTATCTTATAAGTGGTCCAGATATTCTTCTGAGAGTTGGAAGACCATGGTTCAACCATTCTTCTGTCTATTTTCAGTACAAAGCCACATTTCAATACAGAGCTGAAAAGTCAAAAGTTCAGCAGATTTCTACTGCTGAACACTTATGGCTGGTAACTGGAGTGCATGCAAATATCTGCTAAGAATCTGATTATTTGTCTTGAAGGATGATGATTTCCCAAAAGATGTCAACCCAACTCTTTC